AAAACTTGCAAAGAGCAAGCAATGGCGTGGCGATCTCACAGTCTTTGCTGGTAGGTCGGCATCCAAAGAAGCGCCCGCCTCCACCATAAATCAAGTAGTGTAGTCCTAAAATTTATGGACCAGTCTAAAAATCATTTTTAGTAGTGTATAACGATTAGATTAGTATTAGCAATTGTTTATAGCTAAACTCTAAGACATGAAAGTCATCAGGGATCAGAAAACTCACATAACCATGAGAGATGGCAGCTGTGAAAAGACATCAGGAATTGAGCCCTCCAACTTATTGTGTGATAAATCCCTGAAAATATATCAGAATTCAGAAACACAAATTTATCTTCACGGACTAAAATTCACTGCAGAATTAACGTGACTAAAAACATGTAGTTACAAATACTCGAGTGCTTTGAGTTTGGCAAAGTAAAATGATACATCTCCATTCAACTCGCTGAATCAAAGGTGTTTGTGTAAACATCCAAAAGTTTAGATGTCATAATTTAGACAAAAGTGATGTTTATACTGAAAGCATACCTGCGATGTTGGTGATATCACTCAGCGCATCGTGTGTATCTCCAGACGTAGACTCGTAAATTGGCATACCTTGCATCAAAATTAAGCCGAAAACATATGTTATCTGTGTTAGCTATAAACTGTGCTAGTAACTGAATCTGCAACCAGAGTACCAGACAGAGTACATGACTAGAACTTCAAAGCATGAAAGTCATAGAGGACCACATAGTAGGATCTTAAAAAACATGCAAGGGAGGTATATCTTTTTCCTCTTTCCTTCTACTTATTTTTCTTTTATATAGACAGACCCCAAAAATGAGTACTGATATGTAGCTCAAGCATTCATCATAGTCATGCAATGAAATTCAGAACAATTAGAACAAACCAGGATTATTGATCATGGGATATTATTTAGTATATAGAATTCTATAGTACCTTAGTTCACAAATAAAAGGAATTCTGACATTTGCAACACATGAATATTATTTAGTATTTTTTATATCAGTCAAGTTGCAATGTTGCACACCGACACTAGTACATATTGATCTAGAATGAAAAAAATATTGTCGACATCTAATCCATTAGATGGTGAAAAAAAATGACTTCTGATATGAAAAAACTTAAGAAAGAAAAAGGCTCCATATTTACGAAGATACTTTATTTGAACTCAATGCAATTTTTTTTTTGCATATTATTAGATTCTAGCACATGACTAAAACTGAAACTGAAACCAGACAGAACACATGTTTTCTAGTTTTTTTAGTAGTAACATAGTGTGTTAACTGCAGGCCAGGCTGCCAGGGTCAAGCCATCAAGCTCCTTTGGTTCTCTGCTAATTTTTTGCAACTTTTCACTCCCAGAGTTTTTAGAACAAATGCAAAGTATTTGTCACATTGGAAATCGTTCATGATCAGAGTTCAGAGTCCCTATGATACTGATAGTAGACATTGTCAAGTACCTGCGATGACAATGAGATGTGGCCGCCTAGATCTTCTGCCGGCTAGTCCGTAGATGCAGCCGGGCCGCCCGAGTTTAGTGGCCTGCTGCGCGATGACAATGCGATGACAATTTATGTGCATAAGTTATTCTATACAACCTGTGTATATAAGTTATTACGATGAGTTAGTCTATACAACTTGGGTATATAAGTTATATAAGTTAATATATAAAAATTGCTACAAGAAAAAAGTTTCTCAAAATATATGCAAGTACAGTCTAGTTTTATTCGTCTCGTCACGTAGAACACACCGGTGTAGACGGAATTAAAATTGGATACACCATTTAGAAGTTATATCAATTTAAAATAAATGTATTGTAGTTCTCAACACAGTTGTGTGGGCATCGTTCGCTGAAACGGGAATCGATGAACGACCGCAGGATTGGATTCTGGCATCCGGTGCTCTCTCCTCTCGTGAACTCAGCGGCTAGTACGCTGACAAGACGCTGATGCCGGGCTAAGCTAGCGCGAAGCAGAGGATTTGCGAAGCGGCCTTGGCAGCGAAAGACGCAAGCGCAACGCAATCCGCGCGGGCGAAAGCACGGTGGCGCGACGAAGCGCATCATCGGCAAAGCGAGCACGACAATGAGGACGTGGCCGCGTGGCACCAGCTGGTGAGCGCTGCAAATAGTACGCGAAAGGCTGCACACCGGTGAGCGAAGCGCGCGTGAGCACACACGGGCGAAAGCACGGCAACAACACCGACGGCCACGAAGCGCCGGCGCAGCGAAAGCACGGCAGAGCGCGCGACGGCGAAGCGCGCAGCGAAGAAGCACGGTGCGAAGGCGCCGCATAGCGCGGCAACGGCGGCGAAGCGCGACGCGGCGCGCACGGCGAAGCAAAGCACGACGCACGTCGCGAAAGGCCCAAGCGGTGAGCACGGGCGAAGCGCGGCGCAACAAGCATCGGCCGGCGATCACGGTAGCGAGCGCGGGCGAAAGGCGCGGCTGAAGCACCGACGGCCGCGAAGCGCCGACGCCGGTGAGCAAGCACGGGCGAAGTTCGCAACGAACGAGCACCACCGGGCGACACGACGAGCGAAGCGACGGGCGAAGCGCGATCATGAAAGCACCGGCGGCGATCACGCGAAGCGATGAAGCGATCGGCGAGCGAGCGCCGGCGAGCACCACCGGCGGCGAAAGCACGGCAATGAAGCGACAGACAAAGGAAGCGCGACAATGAAAGCACCGACGGGTGAGCACGTAAACCGCGCGGGCGAAGCGGCGCGCTTGCGCGCCGATGGCGGCGTGGCGGTATCGGCGGGCGGCGCAATGACTTCCGGCAGCGCAGCGCGGCAATAATGTACGCGAGCACGCGGAGCTGGCGGAGCGGTGGGCGGCGGTGTTACAGACGAAGACGCCTGCCGCGGTGCCGGCGAACAGCGGCGAGCGAGCGGCAGCAGCGCGCGCGGCGGGCGCGGCGTAGAAACCGGTGGTTTCTCCCAGCGGTGATTTCATCGTTTCTCTCTTTGGAAATGATTCCTCTAAATTTTCTGGGTCGCGGCGTGCTGCATGCCAGGAGGGCGCGGGGTGAGAAGCCTGACATCCCACATCTAATCGTGGTCAGCGGATTTGGTTTAGGTATTTTATTAGCCCTTAATTTTAATGAAGATGAATTACTGTGTGTATCTTTCTGGGTGCACAATGGTTGGAGGCTCTCAGCGGGAGGACTTTTCCTTAGGGGGACCTAGTACAATTTTGTTTGGTCCATTATAGTAGAGATAACCTAAATAAGCATGAGCGACCCAGGAACAATATTATATTCAAATCTACTAACGAACATGCTAATAGCCGCTCTTTTTTTTTTTTTTTAGGACAGCTAATGGCCGCTCCTATCAACAAATCCATATGACCATATCACACATAACTGAAGACACCAAGTAGCCCATTCTGGTGTGCCTTGGGCCCAGGTTTTCTGGGCCTTGACTCTCGTGTAGGAACTGGGTTACTACCAGTCGGCCCACCTGATCATCCCAGTTGCCTATGGATAAGAGTCCTCATTTCTCGCCACGTGATGGTCAATGGTCGTCTTCTTTGGTCGTTCAACGTCGACAAAGTATGTCAGATCTGATGTGCTGCTCAAGACGGCAACTAAAAATTGTGTTTCTTCGCTGCGGAGGAAGTCGGCTTCAAGTTGCGTACTCCAACCGCAGGTGGCGAGGAAGACCGGGAGGAGCTTACAAGGACTAGAGTATGATTTCTTTTTCTTTCGAGGGTGTCTTTGTAAGGAAAGGGTTGTAATCACCAAAAATTATGAATCAAATATAAACCCTGTTTCTAAAAAAAGATAATACTACCTCTGTCCCAGAAAGAATGCAACTACGGGTTGCGTGCCAGTTAAAATGGTTCACGTTTGACCAATTTTCTAGTGAATAATATTCACATTTATGGCTCTAAATTAATTTATTATAAAAAATACATTTCGCACTTAATCTAATGATATTTATTTGATATTATAAATGTTGATATTTTATTATTTATAATCGGTGAAACTTAAGATACTAAAATATGGTGCTCTGCGCGTTCCCCACTTGTCAGCCAGACAGGCACCGTGTACACTACAACAGGCAAGCGGCTAGCAGCACCCTCGCGTTACGTTACACGCAGTATATATGTTCTGCCGCGGAAAGCGTGCACTTTGCTCGCTTTTTCAACTTACCATTGCATTGCATGCACCTCAAGCAAAACGATGCAGAGAGCTCAGCACAGCATCCTACTGGCAAGGGAGAACACGTGATTCTATTCTGCCTAGGCTGCGCGCCACGCAAAGAAGCATCCTACTGGCACCTAAGGACGAAAACAGAGCGGAAATATCCCGAACCGAACCGTATCGTTTTCTATATTTAATTCGATTCTATATTTTTTTTGTCTGACTTTACCGTTTTCGCTTTCGCATTTGAGATGTTTCGTATTTCAAATATAAAAGTAGAAAACGGTTTACACATTTTTCGATCGTTTTCTACTTTTCTACTTTTAATTTGAAATATTCCGAATTCAAAATTCGGTTTAAACCGAATTTGGCTAACTGCACAGGTCATACAGCCCAATTACAGGTTGCTCACCACGTAGCTACGTTCTTTCTACTGGTGGCTAGTTGCCCTCTCTTATAGACGACGTCCAGCCTTATCTCTCTTATTATGTATTTGGTCGTGCACTTGTTTAATGCTATGCACTTGAACTAGATCATGCACTTGTTAGTTTTGAATTTGTTATGTGTTTGGTCGTGCACTTGTTTAATGCTATGCACTGTGGGTCGGTATTTCGTATTGAATTTTCGCATACCGACCGTGTTCGACATAATTCCGCTCGAATTGGTTCGTTTCCGAAATTCTAGATATTCCGTAAGTTCGTGTTCGTTTTCGTGTCTGGCTTGTCCGTTTTCGCTTTCGCTTTCGTATTTCAAATGTAAAAGTAGAAAACGGTTGAGGAGTTTTTCGACGAGTTCTACCTGGCTACCGCGGCCGTCGGGGTCGCATCTGAGGTGGCGGGGCGTGTGGATGCGCTGCGGGATAAGGGAGAGGTACGCGGTTGCGGCGGTGGCCGCGCTGCCCGTGGCGAGGATCGTGGCCATGGTCGGGATGGCGCGCGCGCAGGAAGTGACAGCTATCGCCGTTGCCTCCGTCGCCGAACGCGGTGGTGGTGGCAGCGCCGACGGGCCGTCGCACGACCTCGCCAAGCGGGAGACCAGGGTGGGTTGTGACTGCTTCTCTCTAGCTATCTAACTTCTCGAGTTTCCTAGTTTTGTGAGTGAAGCTAGACTCGTGTGACTAGCTAGCCTGGATTGGATACGATCGATAATATAGGTCACCGTCGTGCATGCGTACGTCGCATATATAATTCGGCCACGGTTCCCCTCCAGACCCAAACACAAAGTCATCAAGCATTTTTCCCCCGAAAATACACAAAATGTAAATCCATGATTACTTCAACAGTGCAATATTCTCTTCATTATCTCCTCCTCCTTAACCCTACTTAAATGTAGTACTCATTTTTGGGATGGGAGGGGAATCGGGTATTTCTCCTTTACGTGAACAATGATCACCTAACAAATTCACCTAAATAATCATTCTCAAACCACATAATCCCTCCACCCACAAAGATTTCTAAGTATCCACTAATGAGCGGTTGATCAATCTGAAACCTGGCCCAGCCATTATGTGAGAGTCAAAAGCTAGAAGTGGGCTACTTTAACAGGGGAATGAAATACTTTTCTCTCCATGCTTAATTTATCCTAAAATACTTACAAACTAATTCTTTTTTTATTGGTATACATCAACAAATAATTCTTTTGTAGAACCTTTCCATTTGCCGGTGTAGCATTACTTCTCTCTAACACATGGGACAATGAAGAATACGTCTGAGATATCACAGGTTTAAGGTGCTAGCTGTTAAAACTTCAAAGTTGAAGGGGTAATGCCGTGGCATAGTCACCTAATTTTTTCAGAAGTGGTTCACAAACTATCCGTAGAAATATATTTTTAGGATGGTTATGTTAAGTAAACCGCATCCAGAAATATAGATATTTTTAGAGGTGGTTGTCTTAAGATATTTGTCCCTAAAAATATGATTTCTAGGTGTTGTTGCTTATTTCAACCATCATTAAAAATGGGTGATTTTGTAGAGATGGTTGACTCCTTAAAAATAGCTACAAAACAAATAAATTCATTTTTTTCTCAAATAAAGCCAGACAAAGACAAAATTCATATGAAAGCTGTAGAGAATTGTGAGATCTAAAAATTTGTAGTTGAAAACTTTTTATTTGAAATCATTTAAGATCACATATATATACTAAGTTATTAAATTTCATTCAAATTTTTAATTTTTTTCAAATGATCTCAGATAGAGACACACCCTTTGTAAAAGTTGTAGTGATCGACAAGATTTGAACCTTTGTAGTTGAAATATTTTTCATTTAAGATCGTTTAGAAGCCAAAGCCAAAATATTTAATATCAAACTCGCTCGTATATGTTAATAAAAAGATAGCCTCATAATCTTGTGCACAACCTCCTCTGCCACCACACCACATAGTCACATATGACCAAAATAGGCATGCGGTAGCTATACTAGTTGCGGCAGCACTTGGACACTATAAAATACTTTTTTTTATCTTTTAAATAAATTTTAAAAATCCTAAATAATATTTTTTGGAGGCTGTTGACTGAGGCAACTGCTATTAAAAACCCTTTTTAGGGACGGTTAGCTTAATAAAACCACTTTTGAAAATTAATTTTTGAGTGGGGTTGACTTAACAAAACCACCCTTAAAAATGCCTAATTTTTCAAAGTCAATGTCGTAACGGTTTGAAAATCGGCCCTAAATCGATTTTAGCCATCTTAAAAAGGAACTTTTTATGTAGTAGTGACTTGATGTCTACAAAAGGTGCATCACATAAGTTTGAGATTGCGAGGGATCGGTAGTTGGCCGACCCTCTTTGACAAGGTTTAATTTCAAGCAACTCCAGCTTACTACTATAATGCCGCGAGGAGCTGTAGCCAATCAAGAAAAAAAAAGATTGGTTTCATCACCTCCCACAGTTTGTCGTGCAGGAGAGAGATCTTCTGTCATCAATAGTGCTGGAGCTACTTCCAGTTCTACTTAAGGCTAATCTTAGTTGGGTTTTCATGTCCTTGTTTCCAGGATTGACAAGTGTTGGAAACAATGTAAATAAGTTTCATCCCATGAAACTTTTATGATATCTTTTTTCGTTTAAACTATGTCATGTTAGTTTATTTAATGTCCATAAAACTCGCATGAAACTTCATTAAGACTGTCATAATAACAAAAAAGACCTTTATTGGATTGGAGTGACAATGAGGCTAGAGCATGGTAGGATTTAGGAAAGCTCCTCCTTTCTTTCAGAAAAAAATACATCAAAGTTGTTTCATGGGTAGTTGTGGCCAAATGGCTATGTTTTCTTTTTGGCAACAGTTGCGGCTCTGTTTGAACCGGAGAAGCGGACGTATCATATCACATGTTCTAACCCTAAACACTTATATATTTTCGTTGTCATAATCTCTTAAAAAATTATACTATACAAGTCATGATTAACCCCCTACAAGAAAAATCTCCATGGTACATATATAGATAATAACATATTTTAAAGTTCGCAAATCTACATGACACGTGCATCACTATTACAATAAGTAGTAACCACTACTACGCTCCTTTCATTCTAAATTATAAGTTGTTTTGACTTTTCTAAATATATTATTTTTACCATTTATTTAGACATATTGTATATCTAAGTGCATAATAAAAATAATATATTTAGAAAGCCAAAACATATGGAGTAGTAGATACAAATAATATTTATCTTCTAGCGTGTGTATATGCAATGTCTAAATCCACTACCATTGGGGCGACACTTCATACAAAAAATATTGACCAATGAATTAACAAAAAATTGTGCAACCCTTACATGTCTTGTAGTTAATCCAAGTTTCTACTATTTTGTACTTCCTCTATTTTAAATTATAAGACGTTTTAACTTTTGTAGATTAAAGTATAAATTTTTTATGCATATTCGTGCTTTTAACGAAGGCCAGGTGGCTCTCATCTCACCCCAACAACAATAGTCTCAGATCTACCAGAACGAATTCCAGAAGAAAGAAGATTAATTAAAGTGGAAAAGGAAATTTAAACCAGCTGCGCCTGCAATTGCCAATCAGCAAAACAGCTCAACCTCGGAAACGTCCTCAGTCCAGGCAGCTCGTGCTCGTCCTCCGACGTCTGACCGCATCGACGGACCCTCACCGTCTTCCCGGTTTCTATTTCCGTCCCCGTCCCCAACCACCCGCTCCCCCGCTTTCCGTGGGCATGGCCGCCGCGCGGGCGCAACCACCACCGCCGCGCCCGGATGCCTAGAAAGCCCCTCCTCCCCACCCGCGGGTCCACCACCCCTCCCCCGCTCCTTCTCCTCCGCCGCCTCCTCCCCCGCCGCCGCGCGACCTCCTCTCCCCCGCCGCCGCCCGCTCGGCGGAGGAACGCCGCCATGGCCCCCCGCTCCGGCGACTCCGCCGCCGCGGCGGCGGCGGCGGCCTCCTTCCGTATCGGGATGGTGCGGGTGGTCTCCTTCCTTGTAGGCGGGCTCAACCTCGCGGTGCTGCTGCTCGGGCTCTACCTCATCGACGCCGTGCTCCCGTCGGGGTGCGGCGGGGCGCTCGCTTTCGCCGCCGCGCCCGCTATGGCCGGGGTCCGCGTGCTCGCCATGATCGGCGCGGCGCGCGCGCAGCACGCCACGGCGGACGCCATAGCTAAGCGCCACCTCCACGAGGGCGACGCCTCTGTCGCAGCTGATGCCGTAGCTCGCCACGAGATTAGGGTGAGCTCTACTTTCTGCCTCGGTTAGATTGGATTTGGTCGGCGCAAGCTGGGTTTGGTCAACGGGATTTAGCTTAGACTGTGCTTAAACAAGCTCGTGACCCAATAACTCGAGCTGCTGCTGTCTAAGTTTTCTCGTTGATGCGTTTTAACTTAGTTTTCAGGTGAATTTGATGCAAACACGGTGTAATTGATGTGTCTATGGCTTAAGATGTGACTACAACAAATTTCCCTAGCATTGAAAATGAGTGTGTGTATAAAAAAAAAAGAGCTGGGGAGCTTATATGATCCACATGAGCAGACAGTGGACTTATGTGGTTAAACACATTGAGCCTATTGAGGCAGGAAGCTTATGCATAGGTTGGTTTTACTGTGAGCTCAAGGCAGGAAGCTTCTTCTGACCAAAGAATCTTTTGTTTGGTGTGGTATACGAGCTATGACTGGAAACCTGATTTCATATTTATATATGGGTCTATGGCTACCATTTGCATCGATTTGGTTTTGTTGGTATAGTCTAGGAGGTAGTTGCCTATCTAATTTGGAATCACTCCATTTTACTGTCCGCTTGTTCATGCAGTCCAATTCCATCCCTGAGCTATGAGACACCTCAATTGCCAAAGTGTGTGGATAACCCCTTCTTGCTGTACTGTGAATTGACCTTATCTTTCCATCTATTTGAGCATCATTCGTGTTTGCATTTTTAACCATGTATATGCCTGCCCAATATTCAAAACCAATGCTAACATAGCAGCACTCTGTTTAGAGTTCAGACATGTCAAGGAATCCTTGAAGAAGTAAACATTCATGGTTGCATTTTGCGAAGGTAGTAAGGCATATAGGAAGAGAGGAAACAGAAAAGATGAAAAAATATGAAGTGAACAATAAAGTAAGGGGATAATAATGGAAACATTTTTAAATGCAGTTATTGCATTTCTACTTTAATTTTTCTTAGGAATTCCTGCTAACTTAACAGATTGCTTCGTTCATCTTGCTGAACAGGTGAGGTACAAACGCTGGTTGTGGTGGACCAGATTTGGTATGGCAGTTGGTGCATTGCAGTTGGTTGCAGCAACTTATCTCATGTTTGTCATTGTAAGAGATCTCTCGAAAGAAAGAAGATCCACTTCCTGCTTCTTTGGTATGTTGGTTGCCATTATGAGCCATTTATTTCTTAACTTTGGACATAATCCTTTACAAGAAGTTTTCGTTTGCTGGTAGTTTACAGTCACATGAGCTTCATACATACACAACGACACAAATAAAGGGGGAATAACTTGTGAGCACATTTTTCTTGAGGTTCCATACGGATTTTTTGAGTGAATGGTACCACAAACATTATAACTACTCTTGCTTTGAACAGCTTTTGCCTCACAATAAATGTACTGAAAAATAGTTAATCAATAGAATCTAGGAGCAACTCTTAAGAGTACGCGGATTTCATTATACTATCCTAAGGTTTTATTTTCTGCTGTACTAATCCACTCATCTACTTGGGCTTGAATAATTGGTTTGCATGGTTTATAATCTAGGACAGGATGAAGCTGATCAGATCTCAGGACGAGCGCTTATTGCTTTATTTCTTATCCTTTCCTGGGTTGTGGTCATTGTTCAATGCTTCACGGGTTCTGACATATTGAGGTGGCGATCATTTTATGCAACACATGATATGGCATGGAAAGCTCATTACAGGGAAGTGTTCGACCATGGAATTCGAGAAGCTTTGTGCTGCCTAGGACGTGCAAAATATCTGTAGGTGGCAGTCCAGTGATTTACACTTTGGAACTCCAATTTTCGTATAATTAGTTGAGCTGATTGTTTTATTTACTAATTTAGAACCGTATTGGAAGAAGATGAGGTTTATTCTGTTGCAAGACTCCTTGGTGATTTGGTTGCATATCGTGCTTCTGGGACAGGACATTTGGAGCTCTTAGCAGGTTGGCTCTTTGACACTGTGCTTTCATATAACAAATCTCAGTGCTATACCTGGTTTTTCTTTTAATTCATTTGACTAGCAATTAGTCAACAAACATTCTGCAGTTTGCTGTATAACTATCAAATCATGTATATAGCTATGTCAGGACTTCATGCTCACAGATATCAACAAGTAATTTCTATTAGGTTTAAAGTTCGAGTGTTTGACATATAAATAACATAATGGATTCACCAGTGTGTGTGATATGTTGTGTTCCTTTTCGCATAGACAGGTTATTTAAGTTAAAGAAAATCGTGCGTATGAATATTGATAAAAGAAGGGAGCATTGGTAGTTGGTACCCTACCTAGATAATAGTTACATTTTTTTTTGTGAATGTATCAAAAACATATGATTTCTACAAATCTATGTATTATGTTTCAATTGAATTGTTTTTTTGTTATTACTGGTGTATCTAGAGGATACTGAATATCTCTTTTATTGTGCATGGCATAGGGCTTGCTCTATTGCAGAAGCATGGGAATTTACCTGAATCGCAGACTGACCTTGTGGAGGCATCCCATGAGCTTATGCAAGAAGCTGCTTTCCTCCATCCATTTGCGGAAGCATGTTACACGGTACTGATACCTGTTGGTTGGGACATCATTTCTGCTCTTGCTAACCTACTGTGATCGCACCTGACATGGTTGTAATGCAGGGACCACTTCTTGATGTTGGACGAAATCCTATTCTGTTTCCCTGTGCATGGGTTTATAGACAAGGTGTGTTAACTCCATGGGCACGCAGAAGGTATCTCATAAGCTTTGATGCTTCTATTGCATGCTAATTTTTGAAAGTTTTATGTTCATGTTTATGGTTCAGACCTTCAGCGCAGTTCAGCTTGGCGTCTGTCTTTAAACTAGCTAAATGAATTAAGCTAGCCTCAGTATTATTCTGCTTAATCTTCCCTGTAGTGAAGTCGAATCTTGTTATATTTTCAATCTAAAACCATTCCGTCCCCATGACATGTTAACCTGCATTATTTCTCCTGTTAATGACCAGAGTAAAATCATTGCACTGAGAAAAGGTAGAATACCTTATTAATGTGTTGCTATGTAACAACTATATTTATTTTTGTGCAGACGCCCTGCACTTGATGGTGATAATTGTTGGCGAGGCCATGCGGCAGCCTTCCTTAGATTTGCTAATATACCACCTAAAGCACTTCTGAGAGGGCGTGTTTGCCAGGTAATATCATGTGTTTAGTGCCATCAGGGTTTATGAATACCGACTTATGTGAGATGATGTGATTATTTCAACCAGTTACACATAACATTCTAAAGTTCATTTAGCTGCTTTGTCCTTTATTTTTTTTCCTTCATTTAGTTGATCCTTAGCTTGTTCTGGATTCTGCTTATAACCTAATGACGGCCTTTTCTATAAATTATTTTGAGTTGGTTAAAGAACATCATGCTTTTGAGGGTCCATGGATATAACTGATCAATCTAAAGTAGCTTTGAACCTGACTTTGGCATGTTTATCCGTTAAGCTGAACCCTATTTTTTGTGCACACTTTGCTTGCATTCTGTTCATTGAAGGTATTATTGCACAATTGAGCAAACCAAAGTTGGTAGCGAGCATATACCTGTTGATGCTTCTTTGTAAACATTGAACTTAGGATGATCTGTTTTACTCATCAATGCAGAGCAAGCGTGAAGCTGCTTATTTTGTTGTGGTTCTCCATGACAAAAGAACTGTTGTTATTGGGGTTCGTGGAACAGAGACACCAGAGGATCTCATAACTGACGGATTATGCAGAGAATGTGCTTTTACTATGGAAGATTTGGATGGACTAGTAAAGTAACTCCCTCTTATTTCTGTCTCTTCTGTTCTTATGTATCCTCCCTCTTTGTGTGGTTGACATTAATTGTTTCCCATTTTAAAAAGAAGAAATTAATTGTTTACACTAGGACCACCTGAGCTCAGTTTTTCCTTTACTAGATTCCTTTAGGACAGAATTAACATATGAACTTTCAGAAAATGATAGTTCAACAATAGGATCTGAATTTCTTTTTTGTTATGACCCTAAGTTCTGTTCTTTTGAACATTTTTTTAAAAACATTCTTACTTATTGGATTTGCTTATTTTTATAATCATTACCAGCTTCTTCAATAGAACCTTGTTCATGGCAAGGTGTTTTGCACACTGAAGGACTTGAATATTGCAATGTAATATGGCTTTCTATCAATCAGAGTTTATTGTGAATATTTTTTTATCGAACACGCAGAAGAACTGCATATCATTATATTAAGAAGAAGAAAGGAATCTAGATGACTCGTACAACCCCTGTAGGGGCAAAGAAGTTACAAAAAGGATTCACCAACAAACCTCAACCGCAACCAATGACCGTGAGCAAAACAATTATGGTCATATGCTTTGGAGCCCTTTGGCTCCCGCCATAAACCATAACGTTGCCTCATCTCTTATATCCCGCAAGATGGCAGCAAGATTAGGAGAAAAACCCTCGAAAATATAGCCATTCCTATTTCTATGTTTCCAAATCCACCATGCCATCACAACAACCAAGGAGTTGAAGCCGTTTATTGTGAATATGAGTACTACAGCAGTGAGAATATTGTTGAAAGGTTCACATGAAAGTTCATCTGAACTATTGTTGTGCAACTAACTGTGTGGCAACAAAATTCTTATCGTACTCATGATATCAGATCTTTTGTCATACAGCGTGTTTTTCAACTCAAACAAGCAAGACCTGCATGCCATTTCATCATTAAAGAAGAACAAGTAACCACAGACAACACTGTCCCACTCACCACATTATAAAACAAACATGCTGCAAACAGAGAGAAAAAGAAAAATGGCCTAAATAGGAATTAGGAAGGACTCCCTAGGTTACTGAGGTGGCAGACTTCGGAGATCCTTAGCTCAGCCATCGCACTACAGTGTGTTTTAATTGATGAACTGATAAAAAATATGATGATTAACCAAGTCAATGACCTGAGGGGATCAAATCAACAAATTTTAGAGGATAGAGACCAATTTGCAGAATAATCATCTATTTTTGCTCGTCTTTTCTTATTAAATGTTGTGTTATCCACAACCCTTGTTTTTGATACTATGTTCTGTTTCTTCAGTAGTGAACAATTACCTGCAACTACAAGAGAGAGAGTTATTTCAACATTTCCACATTATGGGCATGGTGGAATTGTAGAGTCTGCGAGGGAGCTTTTTATGCAACTAAATGAATGCGCAGGAGGTTTGATTTTCTTCTTTTCATACGAACCACTATTGCACTGATTAGAAGATTAGGTGCTACACATGAATTACGCTGATTGATTATATATACGTAAAATGACTAATTTGGTCTCTCTTTCCGAAATGGCAACCCAGAAAACACATTATCTGGAAGACTTGGATTCCTTTCTACACTGCTGGGGGAGGGCAGTGAGTGTCATGGATATAAAGTTTGTCTTGTTGGGCATTCTTTAGGAGGCGCTGTTGCTACAGTCCTAGGAATGATGGTAAAGATGTAGAACCTTCAGTTTTATTTCAAGAATGCTCTTTGTTAATTGTCATCCTTATGCAACCTCTATTACCGGTTTCTGATGTCTTTTCACCTAAATTTGGTGTATTGCTGTAACATTTGGCCTAATTAGCTAGGTATGAAGTACGTGCATGTGTATGTATGTATCAGGAATACTTTTGGATCTGTAATCGCACAGATTCCAAAGCAACAAAACTGTGAGATGGACCAATCTGTCTAATATATTTATGTCTTTTTAGGTGAAACATCTTTTTTGTTACTTCTCTCATATGACTTTGTAGCACATAACTACTATATATGTTATACCCTATGAGCTTGAAATGCAAATCGGTACCATTTCAGCTCACATGGTCATTTTGCATGTTTTCAAACTAACTAGACCAATATAGGAGGTATATTATGTTTTCTGTCAATGCACTTTATCTTTTCTGCTCGTTAGTACTTTACCTTTTCTGTTTCCTTATGATTGCTGATTGGTTTTTAACTTTGCTGTTGACCAGCTTTTTGGCAAATACCCAGACGTGCATGTATATGCATATGGACCACTTCCTTGTGTGGACTTTGTAATAGCGGAAGCATGTTCGCATTTTGTCACAACGTACGAATAAACTGAGATCTTACTGTGGCTACTATTTTCAATGGAACTTCAGTTTTGGTGTGCTGTTCTCTTATCTAGGTTCATTAACTTCTGACTTCTGAGGTTACTTTTGTTCTGTTTCCTTGCAGCATTGTTTGCAATGATGAATTTTCCTCTCGCCTTTCAATCAATTCGATCCTTAGGCTACGATCTGCTGCAATAAGTGCTCTTTCAGATAACTCTCCAGCTGATACAGCAATGATACAAAAGCTCGCTCGAAGAATTTTGCATGTGAACAGGTATCATGATAATGGTCCTGATGATGGCATAATCCAGGGCTATGCTGATCATACAAGAACATCAGGTCGGCATAAATTTGTAGAAGTTTCTTTTACCTTCTCTTTGTGCAGTCTTAAATATGTATGGAGTCTGGCTTTGCATGCATTTCACCCATCTTGTCTGTAATCATTTAACATATTACCTTTCCTCCTGTTATAGGTACGGCAGTACCGAATGAAAGACAAATTTCTAATCAGGTTCCATTATGCAATACTGAGCCAGACCTCCAAAATACGCAAAATGGCTTTGTTGGGTATAATGGATCCAATGCATCCATAGATGAGCATCTGAGCTGTGAAGGCATAAACAGTGGCCATGATGTGCAAATAATTCCACTTAATGGGGCTGATTCTGGTTTCGAAGAGCACCCGGCATCTTACAGAGAAATACCAGTGGAGCCTCCTGAGATGTTTCTTGCAGGCTTAATTGTTCACATAGTGCGGCAAAGAAGAAGTCTCTTTCCTCTTTGGAAATGCTGGAGCATTCAGGAAACTGAACCACCATACAAAGCTGTTTTAGCGAAAAGGGTGAACTTCAGGGATATAGTGGTTACTCCTTCCATGTTTACAGATCACTTACCATGGAGGTAATATTTAACTTTATGTTTACCTAAATAAACTAGTATGGTGGCAAACTCAGCATTTGACCAAGATCAGGGGCAAAAACTAAGGTCGTAAAACTACCTATACCAGCCACACATTTTGAAATAGCAAAATAAAGGACAAAGTCTCAGTTGAGATGATAATTGAACTCCATGCACCATGCTTAACTATGCAACAATAAGATAAATTGTCCATACAATAGCAAGTACCTAATTAGTGAAAACTTGGGGCATTCAAGCCGATTTCTAATGTTTCTTGTTCTGGAGTAGTTGAAGTCTGTTCAATTGTGCAGAACCAATGTTCTACTTTGTAATCCTATTAAAGATGCAGTAAAATATATTTTGGATTATGGAGTAGTTCACTGAGTATGCTCTTCAAGAGCTGCTCCTTCAGACGCTAATCACATAGCCTTGTGCCTCTGTGCATTTCCTTGGCCCTGGTCGCGTAGTCCTTGTTCACGGTAATTCTTGTACTAGGAGTGGACTCTTGACCCTCCTATGTATTATTTTTCTTCTTAATGAAATGACATGCAGTTCTCCTGCGTTGTTCAAGGGAAGAAAGTTCACTAAGTATGTGTTTCTTTGTTGGGAGGGTGGGGGATGGGATGGGGTGATCCCAAATTGGAGTCTGTTTGGTTCCGGGACAAAGGGATGGAACCGTCCCCGGAGGTATGCCTGCTAATGGGGCTAAACCCACCCCGACCCACAATAAATAAGATAGCTCTTTTAACCTAACCCTACCCAAAAAAAATAACTCATGAACCCAACCCAACCCGCCCCACCGCCACTGGCAAACCCACCACAACCCGCCCACCTCATCCAGCGGAAGCTTCGCCTTCAGAAACCCCCGGCGGAGGGAGGCGGATGCGGCGGTGGCGACCTCCAGCAGCCTGGCCACGGCGATGCCGCCGGTGTCCGGCAGCAAGGGTGGCGGCAGGAGCAGCATCCTGAGGTGCTCCTTCTCAGTGTACGTTGCCGAGGAGATATGCGGCGGTTCATGATCCCCACCGAGTACCTAGGCCACTCGGCGTTCACGGAGCTTCTCTAGCAGGCCGAGTAGGAGTGTGGGTTCCGGCATGAGGACATGATCTGGATCCCTGCGTCGTCGAGGCCTTTGAGTCTTCGAGGGCATCCTCCGGTTCGTGTAGGGCAGGAAGTAGGAACCCGCCATGTGTTCGTCTGAATGCTCTACTCTGAATTTCTTTATTTAATTCTTTTTCCTGTTGCCATGTGCTGGACTGAATGCTATTCATTGCTCTAAATTTCTATTGGAAATGCTATTCAGTGCTCTAAATTTCTATTGGAAATGACGACAAAGTGGCGAGGAGGCTGGGATGGGTATAACCCGCCCCAACCCTTATTTCCTGTTAACCCAACCCGCCCCGACCCACGTGGTGCTAAAACCCAACTCCACCCATCCAAATGAACTCCACAGCAACACCCAACCCATAAAACCCATTTCCACCCGCCCCATTAGCAGGCTTACCCGGAGGAGAATATTCGGCTCAGATGCGGGTTCACTCCATCCCCAGGAAACGAAGGGATGGAGGCATCCCCTATGGTTCCCATCACGCGCGCCGTTCGCGTCCGTGATGGGCAGGTAGGGCTGCACGGATTGGGGCGGCGAGGTGACGGCAGGCAAGACGGAGCAGGTTGGGGTGCCGTGGGTCAGGGTGGCGGGTGCGGGGAGGCATGCCCCCTGGCGGCGCATGCGCGGGGCGAACTCTTTGGAAGCAGCAGCACACAAAGATGGAAGAAAAAAATTGAGGGGGAAGAGAGGTGATGTGAGGATGAGTGTGCCCCGCAGATAAAAGTGATTGATGGTGTCAAACCCCATCCATGCCATTTTGCTCAACCACCCCAACCAAATAGAAAACAGGGATGGATCCATCCCTCGCAACCAAACACGTAATGGGACCGTTCCACCACCAACATCAACTCATCAAGGGTGGTCCCACCCCAGGACGCTCCCAAACAAAACACATGCTAAATGTCTAGAATCTGGATGAATGTGCAAGGTACTTTTGAATGGGAAAATAGCCATATGAGTGAAAATTGCCTAAAAAGATCACTTGCTTGCTCCTTGGGAAGGTCATGGCACAAGGAGCTGCGTAGGAGAGAAGCATGAAGGACTGAGCCACCAAGGATAGGAAGTTGGGAGCTGTCGTCCCCGTCTGCCAAACTGGGAGGAATGAGCCTGGGAGTGGCAGCTGCAGCACCAGGCAACAGGTTATGGATGGGTTAGGAAGCAGGTGTGCAGCCACACGGGCAACCTGTCGAGGTGTGGTCATAAGGATGCTGGCAGCAGGTTGGGGCAGCCAATTTGCTTCTGCTATTGGTCCTTTTCCATCTAGGGTATGGATTTTGAATCCTCAGCGGCGGTGGAAGCACCTCTACTTGATGCGAATGAACAAAAGAGGGGGCGGGGGCGAGGAATGACAGGAAAGAGCCATGCGGGCATGGGATCAATGGTTCTGGAAGAGTCCAGATGGTCAAGTGGATTGAGTAGGTTTTATGGTGGAGAATGAGGACCATTAGCTTGGACAGGCTAAAATATAGGGGGAAGTATCCCTTTTGGACCTAAGACTAAAGTCATGACCCTAGTGGCCCAAGTGTTTGGTTGATCCTGCTAGTGCGCATGGTGAAATGCATTTAATAAAGTCCCTGAACCGAGGTTCTTACAAGCCATTATCCCCCAAAAGGAAAATATAACCAACAGCTATCACATTTTATTCAGTGCATGCATGTCCAATCCTTTTAAACAGAAAACACGTCAAATTCACGTTCCTGAAAAGCACCAGCATGATTGAGCAAACTTTTTTAAGGGCTTGTTTGGATTAATTTGTATCCGCCTCAATCCACATTTGTTGAGGTGGATTATGGTCTAAGTTTAATTCCCACCCCAACACATGTGGGTTGAGATGAATACGAGTGCATCCAAACAAGCCCTAAAGTGGGAAAACGTGCAGCATTTTTCCTACCGTATCGTTGTTCTTATAATCCATTAGTCTGTCACAAATCCAACATTTTGCTGTTTTGCAGTTTTGTCTTGTCTAATGTCTGAGTATAACATCTGTTCTTCCAGTGCTGTGGTTATAGCATTTTCCATGTCAAGCCATTGCACTTCCGCTTCTAATATAGCATTTGCTTATAGTATAACATCAGTACAGAACATGCCCTTAGCTAAATGTAAAGCAGCAAATTCAGTTGCCAGGCATTTTTTAAAACTGATTTCATCATCTGCAGTTATCCTGACACCCTATGCCTTGGCGATTTCAGGTGCCACTTTGCTATGCAGAAAATTCTTGAAGCTCAAACGCCTATGAGACGTGCAAATTCCGATTCACCCATACAACATTTGGTCTGATCAGGACAAAACTGTTGGCCCATGTACAGAATGACGTGAAGACAGAAATTATGAATATCACATTTTGCAGCGTGGTTTATTCCAGGCTGGAGGCATATTTCAGTCCTTCAGGCAGCCATATCTTGTATACAGAAGATATCAGTGACAGGGCCAAAATCGTGATGAGCTTATTGACAGTTAGAGGCGAATGCTTGAAGGCAGGCACAGACCACTGAGATCTGATCTCTGGCACAATAGAAATCTGGTTACTGTACAACAATGTCTAATCAGTTACTCACCCTGGCGACCTGCGCGTGTACATTGGTTCCTGACGCAGCCGCCAGCCAGAACACACACCCCAGTTAGCTCCCGTTTATTCTCTCTTATTCATTGATTGAATCATTGTTCTGCAGCTGCGTCTGCTTGTCCATACCCATTTTTTATTCATGGCTAGTTATGGTGTACATAATTCAACACAGCGGAATTAGCTAGACTTGACTGGCTGACAAGTGACAAGTGACGATCAAGATGTGATTGTTCACCAAAGCTGAATACTGAGGTTGTGAGTTAAGTCGGTACCTTAGCAGAACCATACTACCTTGAATTAACTGAATACTCCCACATGCTGCAACTATTTGATTTCCTATATTTACGTTCTGGCAAGGCTCATGAACGCCAGGCTACCGCGTATTCATTGCCTGTCATTATCGTCTTTTTCATTCGTAAGTACTTTGAACACCAAATTCTGACCTGCAGGTTACAGAGCATATGTATACGATAGCCTCTTGTACACACTGTTCCCTTCGTTCACTTGACCGCATATTTAGGCTACTAGGCTTGTAATGGAAAAGCTTCTGGTGCTAACCGCAATTGTGACCAGTCTCCCTTGCTTCAAAGGACAAACCTAATTGGACCAGTCTCCCTTGCTTCAAGGGACAAACCTACCTGGAAAAACATGGAGCGTGCGGTGAGCCTCCAGTAAATGCGTGGCGCCAATGACAGCTCACCGGCACTGCAAACCAACAGAATGCCACTTGAGCATTTTCTTCTCGGGAATAATGGTACTTGAGCATTGATGATCCCCAGCTGGACGCTGCCCTTGCAAGTGCGTAAACGTCCTTCCTTGGTGCGTTCGGTTACGTGCACACATGCTAGAGGATCAATTCAAGCCGAACCGAACTCCTTCGCCACTTGTGCGGTTCTTACTCCACGTACAGCACGGTCAGTCAGGGGTGGCTGGGGCGCACGAGGAGGCCGTGCCCAAGCCCCCCACCACACCCAGGACGCGCGTCGCGAGCGCACGTACACCACCACCTTTCCGTGAGCCAACCCGATCCTCCTCCAGCACCAGGCACCAGCAGCCGTCCTCGCTCACGGAATGCGCGAGGACCACAGCCCGGCTAATCGCAAAGCAGCAAAGGTGATTGTGTTGTACCCGACGGGGAGCTGTTGCTCTCGCCAATTAACACCTCCAAAGTTGGAGGTGGGGAGAGCGGGGCAATGAATGGAACAGGGCACACACACCACCCCCATCATCTCCAGAATTCCCCGGCTAATTAATCATGGTACAGTAGCCTGGACTCGAGAGCCCTTGATCTGCTGATGACACGACCGCGTCCGCCGCCGCTCGCCAACGACCGATC